TCGGTCACGAAGACGTGCCGCCTTCTCAGCGACGGCGCCAGGGCCGTCCACCTAAACCAGGCTCCACAATGTTCTTCTCTCCTGGCGCCGGGTGATTTTCTACATTCCCGGAAAATTTGGCGAGCAGAAAAGAAGGCTTCGGCCTATAGTTATGATTTCATTAGCTTTGTTACTTATCATAAAAGGAGGAAGAGCTGGTTCGGGATGATGACGGGCTGAGGAAATGTATTTCCTTAAGGTCCCTCCTGGAATCCTCTAAAACGAAAACATACGAAAAGCAAAAAAGAAACTGGAATTAGGAGCAGAACTGGAGGAGAAGCATGACTGAGTTTTAACACATTTACGGAAGTCGAAAAGTGGACGGGGGAACATTTACGATGGAAGCAAGTGGGGAAGGACACAGCCCAGGTGTGTTCCGAAGGTGCGGTGCAGGTAAAGGCCGTGAGAACCCGGAGAAGCTCCGGACTCAGAATTAGCAGGCATCGCGGGGCGGGGGTGAGAAGCGAGGCTTCAAACGGAAGTCAGTAGAAAGTCCGTGTAAGGAGCTTCCAGCTCAGAGGTCATTCCCACCTCCCTCTCCCCCCTTAAAGCACAGAGCATAGACTTCTTCCTAGCAAAACCCCGCTGGCTCTTTCCCCAAAGACATGGAACGAATTTCTCAGGAGGGCTAAGTGCAGATTTGTTGAGGATCTTAACAGATCCTCGGAATCTATTAAGAGTATCTGGACTATAGTGGGTGCTCTGTCAGAATTCCAAGTCGCAGTCTCTGTTTTCAAGGTATTTAGAATCCAGTTGGGCAGATGAAGCAAGATTAAAGCCGGCTAAGGCAGAGCATTGTGATCAATTAATGAGTAGTTAAGATAATGGACGTTTTAGAACCTTAATGAAGAGAGAGAGCATGTGTGTCAGGGGATTAGGAATGCTTTTCGGGAAGAGGAGAGACTCCCCCCAGGTGTTTTAAACGGAGTGGAAATTGTCCAGGTGGGCAGGAAGGAGAGAGGCATTTCAAATAGATAAAATTATTCCGATAAGTCTTTGAAGTGAGGACAATCAGAAGACGTTCTAATGACAGCACGTAGATAGGTTTGACCATGTGGTTGGCTCTGGGGCCGTTGGCCAGCCTGTGAAAAGTGGGTTGTCTCTAGAACATGCAGGGCCTGCATTTAAAATGGAAGACCTTACGCTTCATCTTGCAGAAAATACCACACAATTTTTTTAAAAAGGGGAATAATAACAAATAGAAATCAGATTTTTTAAAAAGTTTTTGTGATTCGAGTGCCTGCCACGGATATCCTGAGTGTTCAGAAAATGATAACCTATTCAGAAATCAGTTTTTGGGTTGGCTTCAGATTATCGCATGTGACTGTCAGCTCTTTGCTAACGAGAGAAACGTGCTTGTTACCTATTACGCAGATTATAATCTTCAGCAGATCACAGTCCTGGCGCAAACTGCAGCATTGCTGAAGAAACTCGTAATTACTATGACCGGATGAAAATATTAACCATGTGTAATTAGTACAGAAGATGGAGTGGAGATGGGTTCGTAGTTAAACGAATGGCCACCGACTGTCGGTTTGAGTGGAACCAAGTTCCAGGACTTTGTTTTCCCCCCGGAGAAGAATGGGAGCGATTAGATGCATCGTAAAGTTCATAAATCGGAGAGGGAATGGTCTTTGACAGCACCAGGATCTCAGGAGATGGGGTTAGGGTGCGGGTCTTCTCTCTCGATGGATAAACCTGGGATGATAGAAAGGTGCTCTGGAGAGGAATTTGAGAGACAAATGGAGTGAAGTTAGGTCTAATTGGCTAGAAAGGGAAGATCTTTGAACCCAGAACGAGGGTCTGGTGATAACCTTCTCCAGTTAATTCTTTTCCCCGTTTTCTGTGAGCTAAAGGTAGAAATTAGAGTGAGGGGGTCTTTGAGTTGCTTTAGAAGTTTCAGCTGAACAAGCTGAATGTTAAAGTCATTTTTTTTTTCCAGTCCTGAGAATAACCTTGGTGAGAGCTATTCCAGTCTCATAGTTTGAAATATGAAACAGTGGAGGCCCAGAAAGCTTGCGTGGCTTGCACGAGGGCACGCGGACAGTAAAGCGGAGCAACGGGCCAGAATGGCTACTTCACCACTGTATGGAAACTGCCTAGCATGCCGGGCACGTAGCAGGAGCTCAGCACATATTTGTTGAATGAACGAGGAAATGAACCCCAGGCTTCTTGTTCCTCGTATCAT